ATCACCTTCTCATGAAAGAAATGCTTCAGGGTTTTTGCGAAGACCTTTTCCATCTCTTCTTCCTTCACAGGGGAATTGACTTGGGCGACGACTAAAGTTTCAACCAAACCAATTAAATGCTCCATACCAGATTTTAAAGTAATCATCTCCTTATGGAGTTTAGAAATCTCTTGCTTAATATTTTCCATCCTCCTCTTAGCACGAGTGTTGTATTGGTGAGACCAAGGAAAAATAAGGCTTGGAAATGACTTTTGAAAGTGAAACAAAAAATATAGACTGGTGCATGATATGCAAATGCAAAAGAGAGTTTTTATTTGACTTTCAAGGAACTAAAGATATTAAGTTGTAAACATTAAAGTATGAAGATAGAAAATGAATTCTAAATTGGATCAAAGCGTTGATCAAGTTATCATCAAGATCAATCATCCATTTTGGTGGATTAAGGTTTTCACCCCATCAACATCCAAGATCCACTGAGTTCGGCGAAACTTATAATGTTTACAAAGAAAGACCTCCAAATTCCTTGAAAATCAAGTGAAAAAAGAGTTTCATGGATGCATGAAGGCATGGTTATGCAATAATCACAAGCAAGGTCACAAACAAAGTTGAAATCTTCGACGTCACGAGCATGAAGTCAAAGGTAAGAACCACCCACAAGGCATGGACTAAGGTTTTCAAATCACCAGTAGATCAAGGTTCTAAGGAATCCCAGAGTCTATGCTCTTCCTTTTAATATTACCAACGTCCCAATTACTTGGTAATTAGTAATATTCACAGGAAAAACTCGTTTGAGTGCAGCATCACGTGACAACTACTTCCGGATTACTCTGTCATAGTTTCCACACTACATCTAAAAAAGACAAGATGGGTTACGAGTTCTACGGCTTCTCAGCTTCACAGGCTCCCATGTCGAAAGCAACAATCTCTTCCCGAATACTCGGTAAACAAATAATATAGTCAAAGGGGCCTCCACTGAGTGGGGGATCTCATGCCTCTTTTTTTTGGATTACCCCCTCAACGTTAACATGACTATACCGTCCGTCCTATCTTAAGTGTACCTTAGTCCGGGTATAGGACTTGTCCTTTGTAATCAACACCCAAAGAAACCACAAAATAACACATACAAGCACACAAGCAATAATAACGAAAACATATATAAAAAATTAGGGTTAACCCACTTAGAGTATTTTTCTATTTCCCCAGTGAAGTCACCAATTCTGTAGCGGTGAAAATCAGAGATCAAGTTGTTGATTAACTTGAATCGCAAATAGCAAGAGTCGCCACCATGATTTATTATTTCCAAGGGAAAAGGGAAAAGTGAAAAATAAAACCCATAAATATGAAAAGTAAGTGCAATACTAAAAATAAAGAAAAATACAATACATTTGAAAGAGATCGAAGGTTCATGGGTTGGTTATACAAAGGGAATGTATTAACACCCTATGTATTTGTAGTATCCTATAGGAACCTTTTGAAATATCAATTTTTTGGTTAAAATTGGTTTGCTTGCTAAATGAGTGTAGGGATGAGATTTTGAAAATGCGACGACCCACTTTCAAAGTTTTGGCTTAAAAGAGTGTAAGTTTAAAAATTGATTTTTTAGGAGATTTAATTTAAGATTAACAAAACTTAAAGGTGGACGAGGAATTCACACAATCACATAAGATACGCCCAATGACATAAAGTCAATGAATTAATCATTTCCCTTGGATTAAACATAAACAAAAATAGAAAGACTAAAATCGCAACAAAAAGAAGAAATTAAACAATATAGCAATTAAATAACTAAATAATCAATAACTAAAAATTAATTAAAATAAAGAGATTAAATTATACTAATATACATTTTTTGGTATTTTTATAAGGTAGGAAAGAAATAATTTATAAAACCTAATCTAGTATTTTTGGTACTATATTTTTATGAACTTTATGTGCAATAAGACTAAATGAACTTAGAGCTAAAAAAAGTGAGGGCCATGGATTGAACTCAGGTTTCCTATGTTGTAACATGTATGCCTTGCCACTAAACCATTACTGCTTCTCTGCTATTAATACCCTTTAAATGAAATAAAAGGGATAAAAAACAAACGGATTGGGCTTTAAGGCTAAGCCCACAACCCGAATCCAACTAGAGGGAGATGATGAGTTTTTTCGAAACTCTAAGAATAGAGAAAGAGGCGCCGTTGCATCTTTTTGGGAAGATGAAAAGAATTGGTCAACATTTTAATTCTTAATTATTACTATCATTATTTAAGAAAAATTGGAAAAGATAAAACCACGATTCTCAATTCTCTGCACGCTTCTCTTTCCATCTTCATTCACCTTACTTCTTCTGAACAAAAAATAACAACAATTGACTCTCTTTCATCAAAAACTCACGGTCCAAAATCTGCTTTCAATTCTCTCAAATCGTGACAAAATAACAACTCTGTTAATCGGTTTCTCACTCGATCTCGCAACAAAAACTCTCACAGTTCAACAATTATGTTCATCTCTCAACACTTTGTTACGATTCTCATGCATTGAAGAACAACAATACCTTTATTCTCTACAATAATCCTTCTGTATCACTCTCTCTCTCTCTCTCTCTTGATTCTAAATCGGGCAGTAAATTGACACATTTACAACATGAACTCTCTCTGATTTTCAGTTTTAAACAAGAACCCTCAAATAATTCGATTTGAAAACGTGTCAACATCATTAAATCGAAGCAAAAATTTCTGAACCCTAATCCCCAAAATCCTCCCTCATAATCATCAATAGAGTTTGAAGATCCTCGAAGGTTGAAGACATTTACTCATCCTTCTCACTTCAATCATTCTCTTTTCTAAAAGAAGTAGAAGGAACTAACGTTAAATAACATATATTCATGAATTTGGAACTTTAACATTCATATCTATGCATCTGTTTATGCAGAAATCAACCACATAGTGATAATGCAATGCAAATAAAGGTGTTAACAAGCAAGCGTCAAAGTAAAAATCTCAAACAGACAACACACCAGGTTGACAAAGAGGCAAGATAGAAAACCAGAGCCAAGTGTGGAATCCAGGTAACAAGCTGCTCCTTATTTCCTTCCTCTTATTCTACTTGAAATTAGGCTACTGTTAGATACTAGTTAATGGTTTGTTATAGATTTGGGTCCGAAAGTGTACTGAGGCGATTTTTTGACAGAATGGTTGTAGTACTTTTTAGAGGTTTTTTGCTGGGTAGATGTATGAGTTTATTGTTCATTGGAGTTTGTGGTGAGGGAGTATATGGACAGAGTTATCTTAAATGGATGATTTACAATTGATGGTGATGTTTGCAAATGAAGCAAGTTACAGAGATGGAAGAATTGGTGATATTTCTGGAAACTTGTAGCGGTTATGCAGGTTTGAAGCCATGGAGGGAGAGTGTGTCTTAAGAAAGGTTAAAAGAATATGGAGAGTGGGGATTTCTGTATTTTAAAATTTTATGTGTATTTTTAACAAAAGTTTTGAAGTATTTTTCTGTGTTATTCTTCATATTTTTCTGGTTTGTTTACGTGAGTAACAAAAGCATTTCGATTTTTGGACTCAGTTTAACCTTTTCTACTTCTATCGCAGGAAAAGACATAGTTCTGATAGTGAATAAATTCAGAGAGGAATAACAAACAATATGCAACAACCATCAAGTTATGTCAATGAATACATACGTGGATGTAAGTTTTCATGCCAAAGGGTAGAAGAAACATTACCTATCGGGGACTCTCCGACGGAGCTTCAAAAGATAGTAAGTTCACAATACACCTGTAGTTGAACCCCTTGCTTGCACCTACGTCTGCATGTTGCAGGGTGGAAAATTGAGATTACATTTTGCAAGGGGATTAGCCCCAAGCAAACAGGCGACGTGGAAGGCCCCTCACAATACAACTTGCGATCCCCTGTTTTGCTAGGGGAGTATACCCCTTGCAATTTTTGTATTTGTGAGGGGTTTTTGTCATTTGTGAGGGGATTATCCTCTGACTAATTTCGTTTTTTTTTTCTTGTAGTGACCTCAGGTGAATCCAAGGAGCCACCAAATGCCTCAAAGGAATTGTATGCAACCTCCACAGTGAAGTGCAACGTCCAATTGCAAAAATTGATGGTCATTATGATCAACCGCGTCGTTAAAATATATTTATGATTTTTTTTCTTGTAATTCTATTTAAATTTAAAGGTTAATAAGTATTTTCCCTTGTCATATAGGCGAATTTTAGAAGAAAAAAACTTGTAAAACGAAATTCAAATCTAATCCTTAACATTAGTTGGGGTTAAACTCAAGACACTTGCAATGAAAGTGGATAGTTAAGCCACTAAACTATAAGTGTTTCCTTTATAGTTTCTTGCAAAGAGTTTATGTAATATATGTTTCGTTTACAGTATTACAAAATAAATTATTTCAATTACACTTTCATTTTAATTTCATATATTTCTCTTACTTACACATTTATTTCATTAATTTATATTTCATATTTAATAATATTAGTTTTTACATAATAATAAAACTATATTATTAAATGTTAATTTATGTAGTAATATGAATAAATATATATGAATTTATATAGTAATATGAATAAATATATTATTTATTAATATTCATATGAATATACAAATAAATAATAACTAATTTACTAAAATGAATAAATATAATATTAAATAATAATATATTAATATGCATGAATAAATATATTTATTCATATATAAATAAATACATTATGAATAATACGAATAAATAATAATTAATTTAACAATATGAATAAATAGAATATTAAATCATAAATAATGTATTAATATGCATGAATAAATATATTTAATAATATTATAGATTGTAATCAAATTAAGTAATTTTCCATAAATATAAAAACCTTAAAAACGGTAAAGAGACGTTAATTTTGCGTGAATGGGCGAATCCAAGAAAGATTTGTTAGCAGTATAAGAGAAGAAAAAGACCAAGATTTGATACTAGTACATCGCTTCTTTCTGCTTCACTTCACAACAATGTCTCAACCCAACTCCGACACTGACACCAACATCCAGGTTAATACTTCCCTCTTTTCTGTCTTCTTCCTCACTTCACAACAATTTCTGCGACTCATTCTAGGTTTAAATGTTTGAAGCTATTCTAAGGGTTTGTACTTTTTTTCACAACCTAGAATAGCTCGATGAATTGTTATTGCATGTTGTTACTTTGTCCAATGGAACTAAGTTATTGTAACGTATCTGTATTTTTGTTCCACGTCATTGTTTTCGTCCTTTTTAACCTTGGATTGGAACTTGTTTTTGTTTGTTATTTTTGTCAGTTGAATCAAAATGATGCTAATGTTGACAACTTCACCAATCAGATCAAACAGCATGAAGAAAATATTGAATTTCTTAATTCTCAATCGAATCGCTTATCTGAATCTGTTCTTGACTTACAAGGTTTGTTCTGAAACTGATTCATGTTTGCACTTGTTTTGTTTCTTCTCTGTGGTTAGAATTTAAGATGAACTGATAAACCCTAATTTAGTGCACTTATATGAATTGTTCTGTAAAATATTTTTATGAAGAATTTGATATATGAATTATTTTTCGGCTGATGAAGTTTTGTTTTGTTTTAGTGGGTCTTGGAAGGTATCATTCTGGTAATGTGGTTACATCAGATAATGGGAACGGTGCATTTCGTACAGAAGAGGAAACTGTGGAACAGATATTGAAGAAACAGAACTCTGCTGCCAGCATATTTTGTTGGATAAAAGCTAATACTCAGACATCAAATTTGGCTTTTGTAAAGGATGCTCTTGGTGTTGTGGCTACCCTTGCCAGGGTTGTGAATGATGATCTCAGCAGGTAAATATCATTCTTTTTCTTGCACCTGTTATGGTCAATACAAGTGCATCTGTTCCTTAACAGCGCTACACACTAGTTATTAGTTATGAATGTGTTTAGTTGTGTATTCTACTATTTTTGTGCATTTGCACGCATATGGCACTATGCGGGGCCGTCTTTGAGGGTGTGCGAGACGGGCTACTGCATAGGGCCCAAAATATGATACGTTTAATCTGTGGCTAAAAAGCGTCATAAAATATTTGTCACAGTTAAACCATGACACAATAGGGCGACACTATAGGGCCTCTATTTGATACATAGGGCCTTTGGAAACTTGAGGTAGCCCTGTCTATGGTTTAAATTTCTTGCATAGTTTCCCTAAACTTTGATGTAGCAGCAATACTACTGCCCTCTATACAGCTATATCACTTTGGGGGTTATCTTCTATCCGCGATAGACTACATAGATTAAATTACATGCAAACCGTTCATGTAGCATAATTAGTGAAGTTTCGAAACACATTATGGCTAGTGTGATTCTTTAAGCTTGTCTCACACACTCCAGTTTTTTTTTTTTCTAGTTTATTTCTTTGCTAGCAAAGTAATGTAAAAAATAAAGCTACTATTTATGTTTAGTTATTTTCTGAAAAATTGCAATTTTGTCTAAAACAGGATCCTTTCTGAGTATGTGGGATTGGAGACTATGCTTGCAATTGTCTGCAGTACTAATGAAGGAGTTAAAGCACTGGAGAAGTATGATCCAGAAGGCACAATAAACTGTAATGGTGGTTTGCATGGAATTGGATCTTCAATTGGAAAAGTAATAAACGGCCGATTTGTTGTCATATGTCTTGAAGATTTAAGGTAAGTTATACTTATGTGCTCGTTGGTATGCATGTTTTTCACACAATTGATTCATGTAAAAAGAAATATTCGCCGAGACCTTATTTAGGACTAGTTAATGCAGCCCTGTGCACAGTCTTGATGTATATCACTATCCGCATACTTGTTTTATTTCAGACCATTTGTTGGAGGTTTTGTTGACGAAGATCCACAAAAGAAGTTGGCTATTCCGAAGCCGAAATTTCCAAATGGGGAGTGCCCTCCCGGGTTTCTTGATTATGCAGTAAACATGATCCATCTGGATTCAAATAGATTGTCATATCTTACTACAACTGGGCATGGTCTTAGAGAGACACTGTTTTATAGCCTTTTTTCTCGCCTACAAATATATAAAACCCGGAACGAAATGATGCTTGCTCTTCCATGCATTACTGATGGAGCATTGTCATTAGATGGTGGAATGATCAAGAAATCTGGCATCTTTGCTTGTGGTAGCAGGTCAGTATCAAATTAATCTTGTCTTTTTTTACTGTTTCTCCTACTGTGACACAGCAGTATTACGATTTTGGAAACCCTCTGTTGATTAGCTATAGTTCAACCGTGAAAAAACTCTATTTAGTCATGGTTTAATCATGACAAATCTATTATGAGACCCTATTTAACCACAATTTAACCGTGAAAAATTTGAGCCTTTGTACTGAAGTCCACTTTGTACACTCTCAAAGACGGTTTGATCAGAGTTAACTTATGTTTCTTTTTCGACTTGTCGTCAATGAAACTTCTCTGGCTGCAGAAATGATGTAGAAGTAAAGTTTCCTCTAATAGGCGGAGAATCTGACGTACCACCAGATTATACTGAGGCTGAAGGTATGGTGAGGAGGCTGAAATGGGAAACCTCTAAACTTGCTGCTGATATACAAAGAGAGCAGCAGTTACTGGACTTTAGAAAGAGCAACTCCACAAGCCAAGACTAAAATGGTTGTTAGAAGAGATTTGGTTACAAAGACATGGTTTTAACTATTAAGTTATGCATTAGTAGTTTATTTTGTATGTTTTTGACCTCAAATCATGAGAGATGATGAAGATGTAACATAGTATTTCCAAAAGATACTTGGATGTTTTGCTTAGCTTATTCTTATTGATATAAGAGAAAATGAGAGATATTTGGAGAAAGTGTAGGGGTGGCAAAATGGATGGATTGGATTAATAATGGATGGATCAAAACAATCTATTAATCTATTAACAATCCACTAAATCTTCCTTAAAAATATCTAATTCAATTCATCTATTAAGAATAAAATTCATCCAATCCTTCATTTGACAACATTTTAATGGATGAATATCCATCCATCCAAAAAAATTAATTTAAATATATTCATTTATTTTTTTTAAAATACTTTGTATTTTCGAATAAACTCGATTTTTTTTGTATTTTTGAAAAAATTCAATATTTGATTTTTAAAAAAAACTCGATTTTTCAAAAAAAAAATGATTTTTACGTAATCCCAAATTTTTTCGATTTTCCAAAAAAACTCAATTTTTTGATTTTCTGAAAAAACTCGATTTTCGATTATCTGAAAAAATATGTTTTTCCAAAAAAACCTTGATTTTTCGTTGTTTCAAAAATAAAACTCAATTTTTTGAAGAAAAAAACTCGATTTTTTAATTTTCTTAAAAAAACTCGATTTTCGATTATCCGAAAAAACTCGACTTTTCGATTTTCCGAAAAAACACGATTTTTTTTATTTTTCGTAAAAACTCGATATTTCGGGGAAAAAACTCGATATTTCGGGAAAAAAAAACTTGATTTTTAGAAACAAAAACTCGATTTTTTGATTTTTTGAAAAACTCGGTTTTTAGAAAATATACGATTTTCAATTTTTCGATAAAAACTCAATTTTCTGAAGAAAAAAACTCGATTATTCAGATTTTCCAAAAAAACTCGATTTTTTCGATTTTATGAAAAAAATCGTGATTTTTGACTTTTCGGAAAAACTCAATTTTTTTATTATCCAAAAAAACTCGATTTTTTGATTTTCCTAAAACTCAGTTTTCCGAAAAAGTTCGATTTTTCGATTATCCCAAAAAAGTCAATTTTTTTATTTCCCCAAAAAGTTAATTTTTCAATTTTCCGAAAAAACTCATTTTTTCGATTTTTATGAAAAAACTTGATTTTACAAAAAAAACTCGATTTTCCAAAAAAACTCAATTTTTCGATTTTCCAAAAAAACTTGTTTTTTCGAACAAACTCGATTTTTCGATTTTCCAGAAAAACTCGATTTTAAAAAAAAAACTCGATTACTCGACTTTTAGAAAAAACTCAATTTTTTAATTTTCTGAAAAAACTCAATCTTCTAAAAAAACTCAATTTTTTTATTTTTTAGAAAAAATCTATTTTTCCGAAATTCTAAATAACATAATTTTTTTTTATTAATTTAAAAAATAATAAATTTATTAAATTTAAATAATAATATAAAAATAATCTATTGAATGATCAAAATGTATCGGATGAATTGGATTCATCTATATATATATATATATATATATATATATATATATATATATATATATATATATATATATATATATATATATATATATATATATATATATATATATATATATATATAAAGATGGATTTAATCCATTTTAATAACTTATTTTTTATTTGATGGATGAATTAGATAAATTTTTTAGTGAATAAATCAGATGAATTTTAAGAAATTGTGTCTGGGATAACACTATCAAAGTTCAATATAATAAATAATTATATAATTAAGAGTATTAATCATCAAAGTGAAAATACTTTTGAGATATTTTTTCCTTTTTTCACTCCATATGCTTAAACAATCACATTTGTCTTCAAAAGTATAATATACACATGCATTCGGGAAGACGGTGCCAAAGATAGATGAACCCGAGCATACGATGCTTCGGCATAAATGAAGTTTATCTAATTGTGGATTGTGAAGAAAAAGTATATCATAATCAAAGAAAATATTAGCAGAACAAATCAAAAAAACACGATGCATAATAGGTAAATTCGAACAAATAAAAATAACACAACGCATAATAGATAAATTCAAACAAATTAAAAAAAAACAACATATAATAGATAAATTCGAACAAATAAAAAAAACACAATGTATAGTAGATAAATTCAAACAAATCACACAACATATAATAGGTAAATTCGAATTTTGTTATTCATATTAAGAGTTTAGATTTCAAAATCCAAACTAGACAAAACTAGAACAAATGGAGCAAAATAAAGCTTATAAACGCAAAGCCCAAAAGTTCAAACTAAATATGACATATTTATTGTTTGTAACCTAATGTATCTTAATTATATCTTATTTAGGTTATGCATGCATCACAAATAAAAATAAAAGGTAAGAAAATGAGAAACTCATCAAATGTGAGAGATGGATGATCTTGGATCGAATATAGTAGAGTAGGACTTCAGAGATGTGTTTAGTTTGAATACAATGGAGTAAAAGTTTTGAGAAAGTTTGAAAAATGGTTGAAAAGGAGTAAACTCAAAAGCTTCAAAAGCTCTGTTTTGTTAACTTTGCTAAAATGAAAAGGGTAAGGGAGAGGGAAATGTCTAACATGAATACTTCAGCGTCAAAATTTCAATCTCCGTGTGAAATATAGACATTAAAATCTAGATTGTTTAAAAATGTGTTTTCGAGTGATTCTGAGGTTGAACATAGTTGTGGTATGTTGAGGTACGTCTAGAGTTCAATCTTCATAATCTATTAATTTGGATTTCCAAATCCATGTTTTTTTAACATTTATTTTTGTGTGTTTTAGAGAGAATTTGTTGTATATTTGGTGTATCAGAATTTTAAAATTCAAATTCTACGAGTATTTTTGACATTTCACCCGGGTGTGAGTAATACATAGGGTGTAATGAAAAATTAAAAAAAAAAGTTTTGATTCAATTCTTCTTTAGCAAAATGTTATAGGCTTTTGTTGCATTGATACAACTTTCAGGTTATTCAAGAAAATCATCTTTCATCCATTATATTAAAAGATATAAAAAATAATCAAACTTGAAAAACCAAGCTAGAATAGCTTGGTTACAGTTCAAGGTTGAACCCCTGCATTTTTCTTCTTCATATTTTTTTATTGGTTTTATTAAACAATTTTATTTTTAAAACATACTTTATAATTTATAACAGAAATAATATAAGTAAATTGATTTTATTTTATTTTAGAGATTTACTAAAAACTCACACTCGTGTATTAGCATATCAAATATTCTTTTGCCACTTGAGTTGTACTTACAGAAGAACAACAAATTGTTTAACTACCCTGTTATATGTGCATTAAGTACCGTGTAAATGTAATAGGGGATTTAGACTAGAGAAAGAAATAAAGATGCTGGAGAAAAGGGGAGCATTCAGATTTTGGAGACTGTTTGGTTGGCTTTCATTATTTCCTTGGTAATTTACAACAGTTTTTAGAAATATGCCCCTTTTGACCACAAATATAACAGGTTATGTTCTTGACATTAGGTTCAAACTTCCTTGGAAAACCTGGTGGTGGCTTAATGTCAGCCCCCTTGATTCCTCCCTTATTGGCATGGAGAAATCTTACATTATCAGAAGGAGGTTCACCAACTTGTTTGACTCCATTGCGAGATTCTTCCTCTGTTTTTATGCGATCCATTAACATCTGGAAAGTTAGATGCTCCTCGCGCATTAACTTGATGCATAAGTCTTTCCATGATAGTGGAAGCTTTGAAATGATGACACTGACATGAAAGTCCGCCTCTATATTCATTCCAGCAGCTGCCATAGAGTCTGCAATGCGATTAAGTTCTTGAATTTGATCAGCAACTGTTTTTTCATCAACCATTTGAAATTCAATATACTTTTTCACCACAGATCTCTTGGTTCCATATTCCTCAATCAAATAAACATATTTCAACTCTTCCCATAACTCCTTAGCACTCATTTTTCTTTTTGCATACTTGTTGAATAGACTATCAGATAAATGGCCCAAGATGTTGCAGCGACACATAAAATCATTATTTACCCATCTCTTTTCAGCAGCTTTGGCTTTAGATGTTTCTCCAGCACTAGCATCGTTTTCCTCTAATGTAGCATTTGGGCATGGTTCGGAAAGCACATGATTAATCTTCAACTGCTTCAAGAGTAATTCTACCTGTTCAGCCCAAACTTGGTAATTCTTCCCATCAAAACGGACAGTCTCAATAGGGCCAAGCTCAATGGGCACATGCTTAATAGAGACAGGCTCAACAGGAACATCAGCAACTGAACTTGAAGCTTCTGCATTTTTCCAGCCACTATGCCCTGATCTGCATTGTTTTGATTACATGCTCCAAGTTATACCAGTGTATATAAGTATATGTAGAATTAAATGACTAGCAACATATATTCTTTTAAGCAAAAAAGTGAGTAGTAAATATTGACAAGAGTGCAAAAATATCTCCAACTAAAATACAACATTGAACATTATAGAAAATATCAGGATTCTGCATATATGTGAATTCCACAACCATAATGGCACTTATGTTATAGTAAATGTATTTTCATAGCTCAACAGTCAGCATTGAATACTGACCTTATCCTTCCTTCCAATTTTGTGATAGCTTCCTCTATGGCAGGAACACTTTTCTTGAAGGTTGACCATTGATCAGAAGGTAAACTTATCCCTGATATCGGCGGTAAAGAAAAGAAACACGTTTAGTTTGGGAAATTTAATCAAGTCATGAACAAAGAAAGAAAGAAAAAATCCATTTCAGGTTTGAGAGAGACAAAGCCAACTTGAAGAAAGAGCAACTAGGAAGAAAACAGATAAATGAATAAGAATGAAAGACCTTTAGCAGTGGGAAGTTGTTTTCCATGTTTTAGATAGAAGTCTCTAATTGACACCAATGTCCTCCCTTTGTAATCTCCCACAGTCACCTTCCTCTTGTTTGATAGCTACAAATCAAGAAAAC